GGAGTGTACTGTTCCCCTTGCTTTCTGATGACCTTGAAGATTGTACCTGGGAACTAGCTCAAGGAAAGCTCTCTTCCATGGGCAGGTCTATAGAACATTTTAAGGAATGAGCACAGCCTATTAACAATTCAGAAGAAGTAGACTCAGAAAGACTTGAGTGTTCTGGGAAGTGATGAGACAAACTGTAGTATGTATCTGTTCTTCATGCCTTGTAGAATTAGTCTCAGGGTGGGGATCACACTGCATATTGGAGTGGCTAGTACTTGTTCCAATATGCACAAGTCAGAGAGGAGAGAAGCAGAAAGGAAAACAATTAGGACTGAAGAGATCACTCTCTTGTTCTTTAGGCCTAATAGAAGTTGTTTAAAGAATGTACAAAGTTCTGAAATACGTACTGTGTGACAGGGATTTAGTGTCAGAGGTACAGATCCCTGAGGGTAGTTAGCAAGAGTACTAGAAAACAATTTCAGTGTGAGTTAGTTTTAATTACTAAGCACTCATGTTTGAAGAGACCTGCTTTCTTATTTCACAGCAACACACTGGTCTCATCTGTTCACATTTCAGGACTGCATGGCTGAAAAAAGATGATTCATCTTTGGGCAAGAAGTCATAAAGACAGTATTTCTACTGAAATGGTTCATATAGCACAGTTATAAAAATAGCCTTGCTGTTTAAACGTACCCAAATGTCATCACTAATCTGTCTCAAAATCACACAGCCTCAACCTATTCATTCTTTGCAAGTCAAGAGATAAAAACCCACAAATGTGTCTTTAGAATAAAATCCTTATAAATCCAACATGAAGGCGTTACTATCTCTCTTTTTTACTTTCTGATAAAAGAAAACAGCTGGATTTCTTCAGTGCCTCTATTTTATCATCTTTAGTCTTTCCTACATAGAAGTTACCTTTTTTTGTCACCGTTAACTTCCTCTAGCTTCTGATTATAAAGCCAAAGTTTAAATCTCTCCTCAAAGTTCAACATTATTGATTATCAGAGAAATTCACATTGTATGTAACACAATATTACTACATGACCTTTAAAATGGCTGAAATAAAAGTATAACTCCAAATATCGTGGACATTAAGGAATAACTAAACTACTGGTAGGAATGTAAAAATAATACGACCACACTGGAAGTTAGTCTGACAATTGCTAAATTTAAATATGTACCTACCACATAACCTAGCAATTGAACTTTGGAGCATTTATCCCAGAGAAATGAACACTTCTGTTGATGCATTGTACATAAATATTTATTGCAGCTTCTTTTGTAAAAGCTGAAAGCTGCAAACAATCCAAATATCCTCAACAGGTGAAAGATTAAGCAGATTCTAGTGTATCCATACCAAGGTATACTACATAACACGGAAAAGGAGCAAACTAATAAACGTACAGATGTTTAGATGGACTTAGGGAGACTATTTTTACCACAAAAAAGAGCCAATCTCAAAAGGTTAAGTACTATGTGATTCTATATAGTATAGTATAGTTGGAGAACAGACTAGAGGTTGTCAACTGACAGAGACAGTGACTTCACACTGAGGTAGCAGGAAGGAGTTCTTTTATAATAATAAGACAATTCTGATTGTGGTACATGAGCCTATAGATAAGATCAAACTGCATCAGCACACATACAGAGGTGATGGTTAAAAAAAAAGATGAAAACTTACTAAGGTCTATAGTTTGTTAATGACTTTGTACTAATATCAATATTCTAGATTTGACATAATGCTCAAAAGAAAATGCCACTGTTGGGAAAAGCTATGTAAGGGTCCAAAGAATCCTATATGTTTTTTTGAAATTTCCTATAAGTTTATAATAATTTCAAAATACACTTTTCCTCTCAAACCTCACGCATCAATGGTGATTGTGTGGGGTGGGCGTAGGAGTGGAGGGTGTGCTGGTCCTGGAGCTTGAACTCAGGGCCTGGGGAGCTGTCCTTAAAGGCTAGACTCTACAACTTGAGCCAAAGGTCTACTTCTGGCATTTTATGAGTTCTACGGACTTTCCTGTCCAGGCTGGTTTCAAATCTAGAATTTCAGACCTTAGCCTCTCCCGAGTAGCTAGGACTAGGCATGAACCACTTGCACCCACCTATCGAAGATGATTTTTTTGGGGCCTGGGCGCTGTCCCTCAGCTCTTCAGCTCAAGGCTAGTGCTCTACCACTTGAGCCACAGTGCCACTTCCGGCTTTTTTCTTTTTGCTTATGTGGTGCTGAGGAATCGAACCCAGGGCCTCAAGCATGCAAAGCAAGCGCTGTACCACTGAGCCACCTTCCCAGCCTTCCCCTTGAACACAAAAGAATTCAGTAATTGTTTTAAGTGATTATATGAATTAAATAGAAATGATAGTTCTTAAAAATAGTCCTTGGGTTTGCTGTCCCAAGCTTCTGTCATGTTCCTGGTGAAAGGGTATGCAGACATTTGGTCCAGAGACATTTTGTTCAATCTCACAGACCCATTAGAATGGATGCTTGCTTGACTTTGAGAATAACCATCATCTCTGTCTCTTTTGAAAATTGTAGCACTTGGACATCTGTTTTTTTTGTTCTATTTGATGTTACCACCATTAAAGTGTGCCTCTTCTTCCTGTTGCTTGTTTGTAAATCCTGGAGGGTCAGGGCTAGTTCATTGTGCATGACATCATCTGTACTAACCAGTACATTTCTTAAATGCTTAGTATTTTCTTTATGGATTAATAGGAATCAGGCATGTAATATGTTCAATGAATAGTTATAGAAACAACAAAAAAATCATCATTATAAGACCTTGTTAGTTTTACCAATTTGCAATGGGTAAACAGAATCAAATTTCTTACCAATAATGCTGGTGATATTTCCAGAGCAAACACCTTCTGTGCATTTATTATTTTTTAGTAGGCAGTAGGTGTACTTGTAGGTAGCAAAAATGATTTTGAAACTACTAGATTTGACTTGTTTTTGTTACTGTTTTTACCTACCCTTCTTCTTTGCTCAGTAAATTGCAATGAAAGCCAACTGATATTTTGCCAGAATTTTTATTTTCTTATGATACAATTAAACTTTTCCCCCCTAAAATGTGGCATTAAACTGGTATCATAAAGCTAATTTGAGAAAGGTAGCTATAATGCTTTATAACGTAAGTCAAATTAATGAGGCTCAGAGGATAAAAAAAACTCATGAAAATATTTTGGAAAACAAAAAAGAAGTTAAGAAACCAACAACTAGTTGTGATTTTCCAATACAAAATAGAAAAAAAGAAAGAAATTAATAAGTCCCTCAAATATATTTCCAGAGAGGGAAATTAAATCTTATTTCCCCCTGAGTCCATATATAATTTTTTATTCTGGGCTAATAAGCCCAGTTCTTAATGAAGTCAACATTCTTTTTCTGTATGTCTGTACCTGTAGAGATATTCTAGGAACCTCTAAATTCAGGGAGAGAACTGCTGGGAATTCCAGTGCCCCCAAATACTGGCAGTTGATTCAATTTAATTAACCTCTTTAAAAACATTTATAATCTAGTATGTGCTATGTTTTCTAATGGGGACTAGAGATCCAAAGGTAAAATAGATAATATCTTTGCTGTGAAAGAGCTGACAGTTTAGTGGGGTAGATGTGAATATGTAAATATCATTCTTTTATAAGAGACTATAGAAATGGAACTAAAAACAATGTATTATAGGACACAGGATAGAGGGAGATGGAGATAAGATGAGCGCTAAACTAGGTGTAAGGACACTGTTGTTGATTGTCTTTTTGTTCTTTGGCCTCATGCAATCCTCACTGGGTGATAGATACATAATTGGGTGGGCTCGATTGCATTCTAACTTTAGGATTGGGTACTGTTCTACTACTACTACTACTCCTCTCAGGAAACATTTCTCTGAGGAAATGAGAGAAATCTTATCCTGTATTGGTTGAGAGAGTTTAGGTCTAAGCCAGTTAGCTCACAACATTGCCCTACTCATTTGGCTCTCTGACTAAAGCTGCATTCTCCAATCAAAATGGTACTCTGGACTTTTGCTCAAGAGCTGTGGGCAAAAGATCTTTCTGTCTCTCATTAATCATAAAGGAAGAATCATGGATCTCCAGTGTGTGCTGGCAGCCATTTTATGACCATGAAAGGAAGCTTTCGGATAAACCAAGCAGGAGGAACAGGTAAGGAAAAAATGAGAAGAAATAGAACTTCACAGATATCGTTAAGACATCTGACTAATATCCATGACTGTTCTTTATTTAAATGTTTCAGATAAAGGAATCAATTGATGTCTTTAAAGGCAATTTTCAGTTGGGTTTTCTTAATATTTCAAAGCATACTGAATATTACAAAGGACACTGAAATGACTAGGAGTTCAGTGAATAGGAGATGTAGTAATGTTCCAAGTAATAGGAAAAAAAGTGACAAAATATTAATAAAAATTTTAGTGTATGTATATATGTGTATAAAACCTAGAGATATTATGGAGCACGTGTAGTGAGAGACAGATCATTCATATGTAAGCATATGAGAGAAAGAGGGAGATAGAAAGAGAGAGAAATATAGCTATTTTCATGTATATTTTAGGAATCTCATTCTATCCCTTTAGAAAAAATTCTGTCCCTTCAAGAAACAAATTCTACATATCTAAAAGACCCAAAAGAAAAGATTATTAAGCAGCTTGCTTACTTAATCAAAGTCTATTAACATTCTAAAAAGTCAAGTGTGATAAAAAATAGATTTATTTTTATCCTTACTAATAATTCTCCTGCTGACACAGGATTAGTTTGCAGCATTCAAAACTACAAATTATTTTTCTGCACTGTCAATGATTATTGTGGTGTATTCAGAACAAAGAGTTCCAATTATGCTTGAAGTAAGAAAAATTAATGACATGGAAATGAAGCCCAAGTTAATTTCAGACAACCAGTCTCCCTCTTGCTGGAAAACTTACAGAATAATATTCAGATTCCAAAGAGAGTAGACTGGAAATAAACTATGTAGAAATTGAAGCAGATGAGAAAGGAAGAATCATCAGTACCTGGATACTGGTCAGAGTTGTGTACTGGTAAGCCTTAACCACCAGGTAATTGGCTTCCAAGTCTACGAGTCCCAGGATCATATATTTCCACCATCTTCGTCGTAAAATTGCCAAGAGATTTTCTTCTCCTGTGTTACAAAGGTAAGAAGAAAGGAACTTAGTTTTTTTTTAAATACAGAATAAACCAATTATTTACAACTCTAAAAATATAGCATTGCATTTCATACAATAATCGTATCAAATATTTAAAGAAATGAACCAATCTATCAAAATCTCACATTTGTTTTCTTGGCACAAGGTGTTCACAGTAGATTTTGGCTTCTCAAATTGGTTTCTATGCCAGAATGAGACTGGTGAGGTTATTAGCTCACCATGCAGCACATTTCTTGTGAATAAATGAAGGGGACAAAATAACTGTATCACGTAGAAATGAAAGAAGTGTACCAGAAAGGCATAGCACAAATACAAAACCATCCTAAATTTTAGGATTGTGCTAAAATAGATACAAATGAAAAGAACGTAGCCAAATGGAAAATGCCTTGTGTGTGGCAACAGGTCTGTAGAAAGACTCTGTGGTGCTACCTGGAGAGAGCCTTTGTCCTTGAATACCCTATGCACACTATTGTGTGGGTGATGGGGAAAGAGAGACGAAGCGGAGGGTCACTTTATGATGGAAAAAAAAAAAACTGGTCTATGGTTTTAATGCTTCCAACAATTTTGACCCCATTGCCTCATAAAATTGCTAGTATCTGAGTAGCCATTGAATCTCTTTATCCTTATTTTCATGTGTATTTCAAGCTGAAATAAAATTTTATTTCTCAAGAGAAGGCAACCTTGATAACAAAAGCTCTTTGTAGCAAGTGAGGGCCTCACAGATAATGTGGAATATAGCGACACTGAGTGAATATAGAGTATTCATTCCTGCCCCACAGATTATCCTTAAATGTTTAAAACAAGCAATATTTATTATCTCACAGTCTTTGTGAGTCAAGAATGAGAGCATAGTTTAACAGTATTTCAAGCTCAAGGTTTTTTTTTTTCCTTGTGGTTCTTTTAATGTACTTAAAGTGCACTACGTGAGATTCTTTTTTTTATTGTGAAAATACCATACAGAGGGGTTACAATGATACGAACAAGGTAATGAGTATATTTCTTATCAAGCATTGTTGCCTCCTCCTTTGTTTCCCCTTCCCATCTTCCCCCTCTGCCCCCTAGCCCCAATGCCAAAGTTATAAAGTTCGTTTTTCGACATAACGTCTTGTACATCTCATTGTTGCAATGGGTCAGTCTATATCCCTATTTAAATGATTTGTTTTTTCCCTTCCCCTCCCCAATTTATACCAACATCAAATACAGTGAAAACAGGGGTTATACCATGAGAGAAGGGCATACAAAGCAACAAAGAAATCATCTTATAAATATGTTAGAAACAATACCCAGAAAGAAACACCATTTGAGTCCTTATCTTGGGGTTTCCAGTAAAGCTGCCAGTCAGGGATGCAATAATCGGAAGGACTGACTGGGAGAAGGACCTGTCTCTAAGCTAATTAACAGGGCTAAGGGGAGGCCTTGGTCCCTCACCACAAGGGCCTTCCACAATGCTGCCTCAAATATGACAATGAGTTTACCTGTGGGGTGGGGGGAGAATGAGAGAGAAACTACATTTGGAAGATTATGTGTTTTAATATCCTAATCTCAATGTACTAGCTATCCTAGTCTGTTCAGCAGAAAATAGCCAATAAGTCCATGACACTCATAAAGGAGAGCACACAACTCAAAGCCATCTTGGAAACTGCCAACCCAGTGAAATAGTCTATTAGTACCATTCTGCTCATCTCCAAGAGCCTCACCTACCACCTGTCTCTGAGCCACTCCAGGAAGTCTGGATTCTGATTCCTGCCTTTGACCTTGCAGTCATTTCAATCTTATGAAGACTTGGGAGTGCAAAGCTTTCTGGCTACACAGAATGCCCACACAAGTTGTGGCTAATTGCAACAATGAAGAGTGTGTACTTGACCTTTCAAAACTCAACTTAGGGCTCTACCTAGTTTTTGGTGCCACACTTCTCACAGCCTATACTCTCAATGTGTTCAATGTCTTTCTATCCCAATGAACTGTACATTCCATCTTACTAACTCCTACTTATTTTTCAAAGTTCATTCTCCTTTTTTCCTTAATCTTATGTGTCTTCAGTTTTGTATTCTATATGCTCATGATTCATTCTCAAATATGTATCCCTAGCACCTACCATAAGGCATGTGGTGAAAGCTGGTTAAGCATTGTGAAGTGACTGAATTAAAGAATTGAGAAGAGTACAGAGTGCTATCTATCTGTACAGAGCCAGCTCTGTAATCTGAGTTGCTCTTCTCATGGTTTTGCACTTCAATCTATGGCTGGTAGATATGATTCCCAATGTCATTTCTTTATAGCCATTTCGTTTAGTCAGTGCCCTTGGATAGCACTTCTGTCTCTACTACTTATTTACACACTGGATAAGTCAACATACACATCAGTATGTATCTTGTAAGCCAATTTTCAATGTGGATATTTATATTATCTGGGAGCTTAAAAAATCCCGATATATGGGAAATTTAATTAGAAATTCTAATTGGTATTGGCTAGGGGCTGGGCATTGGGCTAATAATCAAATCTAGGACTTACAGATGATTGATACCCAAAGGGAGGTGTGAACCAGGAATTTCTAGAGATATAAGAATTACCTATGCTACTATGTAATAAAGACTCTTAAAACCAAAGAAATGATCTGATATTTGGCCTCAAATATGTTATCTCTTATCAATGGGCCTATCCATGTGCTGCTCTCTCTACTTATACTACTGTTGCTCTAGTCTCTAAATGAAGGGTCAGCTTGCAAAGTTCCACCAAGAAGGCTTCCATGATATCCATACCACTCTATAGTGGGTTCCTTTTCCCTCCTGCGTGCACGTTTAATACCCTGCACTCATCCCACATGGAGAACATCTCTTCCTGTCTTATAATTACCTTTTTTTTAGCCATTAGATTATCAAAAATTTGAAGACAGTGGCATTGTTTTGGTTCTCATTTTATCACTAAGACTCAGTGGTACATGATAAATAATATAGTTAATAAATAAAATAGAAGGTATAAATGAACTTCATGTGCAGTGATCTCAGCAACACTAAGTAACATTGAAACTTAAAATATCTCTCCTAAATATAGATGTTCCAGCTAAGGAAATTGCTTTCTTATGAAAATGTTAATCTATCTACTTGGAAGACTTAACATTGTTGGGATTGATGTTAAAGGCTAACTGGGAAGAAAAACGGTGAGACTTCTTCTCAATGAAGAGCAGGATGCAGTGGTATACACCTTATATCTTAGCTACTAGGAAACCTAACAGAGGGGAATTGTGCCTGAGCAGCAAGAAAGACCCAAACTCAAAAATTAGTGAGCCAAAAGGACTGGAGACATGGTTCAGTGGTAAGAAGGCCTGCTTACTAAGTGTTATGCTCTGAGTGCCGACCCCCCAAAATGTAGATAACATTTCATTTGATAGAATTAATTTTACAAATATTCTACATATAACATATTACATAGGACACAAAATGGTTAGTAATACATTAATCCTCCAACTGTAATTCTAAAGTCCTGGTTTCTGGCTCCAGTTAGTTTACACAACGAACAAATTACCAAATCCAGAGCACACCAACCATGCCTCAACCCTGTCTTAATACACAACATTGAACATAATAGGTTATGGTAGATACCTATCTACCAATCTACCTACCCTCCTACCTGCCTGCCTGCCTATTGGCTCTGTCTCTCCTCATAGTGCTGACTTTTACAATCCATGCCCAGGGCCTCACTATATAACATATTAATATATATATATATATATGTATGTATATATATATATATATATATATCAATCTTTTTCACCACATGTGAAAGGTAGGTAGCATTAATGATGTTTCATTAATAAGCAACATATCTAAAATTTAATTCACTGCTTAGATTTGAAAGATTTGTTACTAATTTGCTATAAAACTCTGCAAAGCAAAACATCCTAAATTAATGTTTCCATATTGTTTCATTCTAAGTGACTGTAACATACAATGTACTTGCTTAGCAGAATTATTCAGGAAGAAAAGAAGTGCTTCTGTTTTTTTTTTTTGCCTGACCAAAATTTCAACCCTTGGACTGCTTGGGAATCTACCTGACTCCTATTAACATTTATGTACAGTAGGCCATTAAAATTCTTTTTAGAATAATTAATACACATTCTAAGGATCTCTCAACTAAAGCCCTATTCAAACCACATGAAATCAGACCATCCATAGGGAACACTAATACAATACATTAATGGTGACATGTAAATTTTTTTGGTTTTGGTCTGGTCGTGAGGCCTGAACTCTGGGCCTGGGCGCTGTCCCTCAGCTCTTCAGCTCAAGGCTAGCACTCTACCACTTGAGCCACAGCACCACTTCCGGTTTTTTTCTTTTTTGCTTATGTGGTGCTGAGGAATCGAACCCAGGGCCTCATGCATGCAAGGCAAGCGCTCTACCACTGAGCCACCTTTCCAGCCCCACATGTTAATATTTTGAAATTCCCTTCACCTTTAAAAAATTAACTAGGAAAAATAATAAAATCATAAATGGAAATTTTAGAACTATGGCTTGCTATTTAAATGCATTCTATTTATTATTATTTTTATTATCTGTGTGATTTAATAAAAACGAGACATCAGAGAATAAAGTAATAAAGTAATCATGTATCCTTGCCTTGATTTAATAAGCATGAACATTTCATAATGTTTGTTTCAGATCTTTGTTCTGAGAAAGAAAATATTATAGATGAAATTGAAGTCAATCTGCCAGAGACAGATGCTATTTCAGACCTTCCTTCCTCACATCACCTTTCCTCCTGCCAATTTGTTTAGCGTGGAACAACTCATTTCATCTTCTCCTGGTTTTGGTTGGTGATTTATGACCTTGGTTCTTGAGCCTTTAGATTGAAGCTGTAATGACACCACCAGCTTTTCTGGGTCCTCAGCTTGCAGATCACAGACAGTGGGTCACAACTTCCATAATTACATGAATTTATCCTCATAATAATAAGTCTTCCTACCTACCTACCTATCTAACTA